ATAGAATTTTTACATGTACAGTAGTTTAAAAAAAAATAATGTTGTAGCTGTAATCAGCACATTTTGTGTTTGAACCTACCAGGTACCCATTTGTATTCCTGGGTGAAGATAGACAACCATATAGGTAAAGTGCCTTGCCTGAGGACACAAGCGAAGTTCACATCACAGCGAGGGATTGAACCTCCGATTGACGTAAAGTAAAGTAAATTAACGTTTAATTTTATATTTACTTGTTTTTTTCTTTTTCTTGGTTTAATTTTATCCTTTTTAGACAGCTTCAAAAGAACAGAAGCGCCTCATAACGAATAAAAAATGCATTAATATCTTGGCTCATAAAACCGATTACATAACAGCCTTGTCTCAAGAAACAAAAGACATCTGAGAAACGGATACAGTAATAAAGATCTTTTTTATTTTCGTAGAACAATGGGATCAGTGACAATATCTAGAGGAGCCTTTACATGTGTAATATGTTTATCAGTTATTTCAACGTGGGCTCTATGTTTTTTGACAATGTCGATATATCCTTTAGATCTATCAATTGTTATGAAACATAAGAGTTTTACAGAACCGAATCTAACAAGAAGGTTATCTTTGTAAGTGATATTTTTCACTGAGATAATTGGGATATATCATATATAAAATTATAATAATAATGCTGATGACAGTAACAATAATAGTAATAATTATAATAATAGTAATAAATAACAATACTTCTAGTGATGTTTCGCTCTACCACCGAATACGTTATTATTATTATCATGATGACCATCACCACTTAACTATTACAATTACGACTACGGCTTTGGCTACCCGTCCGGTACCACTACCACTACTGTCAAGGAGGTGATGTGTGGCGATACGAGTGTCGAGTCGAGTAGCCGAGCGATAAGATGTGGGTGCCGCTAACTACAGCCTTAACTCTGTGGTTAAGAGAAGGGATATACTGAATATAATGATAAGCATTTTTTTTCTTTTTATGACCAAAAGAAAAAAATTATCTTGTATATTAGTTTTATATGCTTAAGCTAAATAAAAATAAAATAAAGTGGATTACACCGGACATAATTATACTTATGTATGTTTCATTTGGCTACAGGGAATCAGGCTTAGACTATTTTGCTCTATTTATTTCATCAACCTTTTTTGGCCCTCTATAAGTGGAGCCCATTCATGGACTTATTATTTAATGGCCAACGGTTCGGGGAGGGTGTAGGGAATGCGGACTAGTATTATTATTACTATTATCATTATTATTATTAATATATTATTATCATCACCATCATCATCATTATCATCAATTTTTATTATTATTGCTTTTATAGTTTCGACAGAACACATCGAATAAGTGATATTAAGCAAGCACTTGAGACTGAATTTAATAAGCACATTGACTTAGTAAAAGTATTGCAGTTGCGGTAAGAACTTTAGTTTTGTTCTCAATTTATCATGTGATTTATTTGGTCATATTCATTAATCCAAACATTTATCATTTTCTGTGCAGTAAACACTTGAAACAACGTCCAAGTGATGAGTCACGTAACCTAAACGAAACATATGTGGTTGATCGTTGACTCTTAATTTCAAGGGGAACTTGCAGCCAGCTCAGGCGGCTAAACTGGTGGTATCCCCTGTGTGTGTGCTGAACCGTGAATATCCCTTTGTCGCCGGTTCAATTCAAATCAATTGTGTTTCAACTGGAGGGCTGAAATGCATGCTTCCAAAGCTCATCGTCTTTCGGATGAAACGTTTAAGCATTTGGTCCCGTGTGTAAAATGGCTTATGTATATTTCATGATAAAAATTTCCAATAAAAGAAGCTTATATAGTCTGGCATAGCAACTTTTGTGGTCATGGCCCTGTTACAATTAAAGTAGGATGGACTATAGGCCTTATAAAATGCTATATTACACGAAATCGTGAAATTTGGAACAGTGCTGCCATTTTTGGATACTCTCATGAAACCAGTGCAAATAAAGGCAAAGTTTAAAGTCTAGCGCAAGCATAGAAACTGCATAGGCACGGCGGCTTAGAGTTGACACGGCGGGTTTAAAAAGGGCCAATGCGTTTCCGACAGGGGCATACTTTCCGACAGGAACTTAAATGGGTGTGTTCGGACATTTTCAAATCTCCCTGAAGTGATCCAGCCCCCAGAAAGGTTGAAAATTATGGGGTTCAAAGGCTTATTTAAACGATTTGAAAGTCCGGCACATTCCCTGCTGTGTTACTACCATGTAACGTATCAACGCTGACAATGTAATTTTCAAAGCCTGGTCTACATTAATTTTTTTCTTATTAAAACGTATATTTGACCAATATTTTTCAATTTGTTTATTTGTAGGGCTAACATTACCGATCGTAGGTTGTCATCGAATATGACTATCTTGATACCTCCGCACCAACAGGACGGCGGAAGGGTGAAGTTTTACCGATACAAAAATATGAAAACCCCACCAAAAGGCCTACAATTTATTCCCCAGCAACGGACATGCGCAGTAATTGGTAATAGCGGTATTCTTCTGAATAGTAAATGTGGTGCTGAAATCGATGCTCATGATTTTGTGCTAAGATCAAACATGGCGCCGAGAGAAAATTATACAGACGACGTAGGAAATCAAACTGACGTTATGACGGTCAATTCTATGGCAACCAAAATAGCTCTGAAGTGTATCATGGATAATACATCTTCTTGTTATTCCAAATACTTGGATATATATCGTTACTTAAATGGGTCGATCCTCTGGTTCGCAAAATTTGGTGTATCAGCCAAGAGTCATTTACAATTTGTAAGCTTCTTTATGAAACACAATTTAAATATATTAATTGCTCATCCGCCCAGGTCTCTGAAGGGAATGATTGCGAGGTGAGAACATTTTCAATTTGTTTCAAATCACGGGCCCAATCACAAGTCATCAAATTACCAAGAGATGTATTGTAGTGCATATGAATTCCATGAAATAGAAATTCTCAATACCCTGCTAACACTACTGAAAATATTAATTGGATTCAAATATAATACTATAGATATTGTGGCGTTCCATGTACTCTCGCTCACTTCGGGGACTAGCCCGAAAGAGACAGTTTGGCCTTCATTTCTAATTATACTCCTGGTTATTGAGTTCAAAGGTACTACAATATAAACACTGGATCGAACGTTCATGCCTCGTCCATCTTTCTTCTCCGTCCTTTCTCACTCGAGAGGGGGCTACCCATACAAATAACCGTGCAGAGCACGGACGTATCGTCACAGTATATCATTGTGTGAAAGTACCTTTTCGATAATCTCAATAATTAATAATTATCTTTGTTCTTTTACAGTATGTGGGATATGTTGGAGCAGCGTTACAGTCCATCATCCGGGCTATTTTTATACACTGTGACGGTATCGATTTGCGACAAGATATCCCTATATGGATTTTATCCATTTAATACCGCTCCCGATGGCAGAGAATTGCCATACCATTACTATGATAGATATACTACATTTAAGTCTGGTCATAACATGTCACATGAGTTCCACAAACTGGTATCGTTAAGTAAACAAGGATACTTCAGAATGGTAACTGATGAATGCGTTGTTTAAATAACTGGATACAGCATTTATTCAAAGATAACGCCCCTTCGAATAAACGTCTCTTCTAGAGCATCATTTGGAATAAACGTCTACCGCGAATAAACGTCACCCCCAGGCGTTTATTTTTTTCTCGAATAAACGCCCCTAATGGATAAACAATTGTAATGGAAGCATGCAACATTTTAGTATGTTCTACTATATAGTAGGATCGATAAGTCATGATCTCACAGTAACACATTTTGACGGTAAAATTTATATTAAAAAATGTTAGTAGAACGTAATCAGAAAAATAGAAAAAAAAGTACATAGGAAAGGAACATATTGAAACAACCTCAACACACCATGAATACAATTATAAAGATTCAAATTCAAATTCATCTTTATTGCAATCATAAAAAAATATAAAGATTGGATATTACAAACTCTATCAAAACAATTAAATACATTCAAAAGTAAAACAAGGACAAGTACTTTCGAAAAAGGTCAAAAAGGTACATTACGGAAGATAACTTAAATATGAAATTTTTAAAATAGATGAAAAAAAAACAAGCATAATTGTTTCTTAAAATTATTATATAGAAACATTATTAAATTTATTTAGAAAAATAGATATGATATAAAAAGGAGCTTAATTATATTACAAGTTTTACATTTTTTAAAAGATAAAAAGAGCAATCAAAATTTACAAACGAGGAAAATTAGTATTTTACAATTTCAGCAGCATTTGATCAAGGAGAGTAAGCAGCGAGGAATCATCTACCAGTGATTAAAAGCTCCATAATTAATTATAAATTTCTTTGATCTTTCTGTTTTTACTTTAGGCAAAGCATATTTCAGTTTATTCCATAGTTGATATTGGTGAGGCGGCGCAAGTGTTAGTAGATGATTTAGTCGGTACTCATTCTTTCTGATAATATCTCTTACAAATATCAGTCAATCGGTCAGAGAGACGGGGAATGCACAACAGATTCAAAGCATGATCATAAGAAAAGCCTGGGAGAATACTTCCTACAGCTCTACGTTGTATTCTCTCAATTGATTGCTGTTGCTCTAAAGTGAGACCTGTAAAGGGGCTTGCATACTCCACTACTGACGAATCACACTACAGTAATAATGTCGAAATTGTGTTGCATTTCGAAATCACAGACGTTACCTGACCATCCCACCTAAGATCATTCTGAACTATAATCCCTAACAATTTAGTTTGTGTTACACTTATGATATCGAAGCCATTTACTTTTAGGGGAGGGGGATCAAATTTATCACGTTTAAAACTAATAAGCATTTCTTGTGTATTTTTCTCATTTACTTTCATTTTATTGTATATGTATTTGACCAGGTGCAGATCTCATTACATACTGTTTGAAGTGCACTCATTTGCTTTTTGGTGATTCTCTCAGACACAGTAGTATCATCCATATATTAGTAAGACATCACGATAAACTGACCCTTTTTAAAGAAAATTGATTTTTGTCTTTGTAAATACTTTTTTATGGATAGTTTACAGTACTGCATAAAACCTATTAAAATAGTAAGTTATGAATGATGAAATATGAGAAGAAATAAAAGTGGGACAACCCCACAAAAGACAAAACAAACAATTTTTTCGGGTTGTTTGTGATATGATCATAGAGTATTTTAGGTACATGGTCTCTTCTTGTAGGTGGCATTGGAAACTTATATTTTTCATTATATGATGATAATGATGTAGAAATAATTGCTCGTCTACCCCACCCTTTTTCAAAAAGCTTGATCGACTAGTTCCTTATTGCTCTATTGAGTACACCTTTATCACCTGGTAGATCTGTCATATTTTACTATAAATAAACAAAGAGTTGACTAAATAATCATAAAAAAAACACCGTAGGCCTCATTATAGCTTCCCCCTTTCCCCGATCGGGAAGAAAGAGATTATACAGTATGAAATGTATTTTTACATACATTAGAACCCCTATTAAGGACACCTTCGGGACCAAACATTTGTCCTCTTAATATTTATGTCCCCTGATTAGGGGTGCCCCTATTCAGAGGACACTAGTCAAAAACGTGAAATTGTCCCTTTAATAGGGGTTTTTTGGAATGCTTTCGTGAATGATGAAATAAATTCTTTAAAATTTTATTTAAATTGACAGAAGAATAAGTTACAGTTAATTATAGCTAATATATAACAATAATTTGCAATGCAAAAAATTAAATTATGATATGAAATCAAAAGATATGTAACTAAAACTACAAAAGTTATATATGCTTCCGATGTTTCTTTGTTCGAGTGCAACGTTAATGGCCAAATATTCTATTTTTTAAACTTTGAGAATTCTATTGGATGCACAAGAAAAAACAGCCTGTTTCGGTAGTGTGTCCATAATTTATTTAGAAATAATGTTATTGTATTTATAATTTATAAATCTGTATTGCTTTATCGGAATTGGTTTTTTTTTTACTGCAAACGTAATGGAAAACCGTCAGTGTATTAATGTTGGCTGGTTACCTGAAGCAACCTAAAATATGGGGTCGGTTTTCACAAAAACGGCTATCATTTTTTTCACTATTAAAAAGAGAATAAATCAAGCTTTTTCTTGCATTACTGACTGTGGTCGTTGGAACGGCCACTTATGTAGAGGAGCGAAATCTTAATATTCGACCTCTAATGCTATAGGAAGATATTGCGCCTTCTAATTTTAGCAACGGACGTGTTGATGATGAAAAATGGCGATTTCTCAGCCAATATTTGTCCCAACGACCTGATTTTTGTTTTAGAAGTATAAATAATAATTTCTTTATTATATTGTATAAATATTAATTATCATAATGCTACAAGTTTCTGTAATTATTAGTTTTAAAACGTTGGACTATTAGAAATTATTATCAATGGTTGGATTTTGGTCTCCCTAAGGCCACACTGAGCTAGGTCAGCGGGCCTGATCATCACAGTTCAAGGTCAGGTAGTAAAAAGTCTAGTTCCATGAATTTATACTATTCAAGGAAATTCATATTCAATGCTTGATTATACTACTGCAGATTATTATACAGTTTATTCTATTATGAAATCAAATTATTTACTCTACCTGTGTGAATGTGCTTTGGGGAAGTGGTAGGCCTACGGTCGAATAGGTGGGGGAGATTCAGCGGTCACTTCACTGTAGAAAGTGAGAAATTCGGTAAATTCATTTACCTACGGAGCCCCTAAAGGGACATGGTTAAAGAAAATATTAAACTATTTGGAGGGAAGGAAATAATATTTCGAGGGAAGGAATTAATATTTCGAGGGAACGAAATCATTTCAAGGGAACGAAATCGTTTCGTTCCCTCGAAATAATATTTCGTTCCTCGATATATCTTTTTTTTGTTCCCTCGAAATAATATTT